TTGAGAATACAGAAATTGAGCAGGAAAATCTGAAATGGAAGAGTGCTTTGATAGTCTATGTCTTGGGTGAGAAACCAGGATATAACTATATGAAAAGGTACATCAATCAGATGTGGAACACAGTTGCCATGCCAGATCTGTTCTATCATGATGAGGGATATTATCTTGTGAGATTTCATTCTTTGGAAGAAATGAAGGAAATCATGTGTGCTGGGCCTTATACAGTGAATGGAAGACCAATGATAATGAAACACTGGTCTCCATACTTTGATTTTGCAGCAGAATTCTTGACAGATATTCCACTATGGGTAAGGTTCCCAAAGCTTCCCATGAACTGTTGGAGTGGGAACTCACTGAGTAGAATAGCAAGTACCATAGGGATCCCTATGTTTGCAGATGAGTGTACTGCTAAACAGACAAGAATCTCCTATGCTAGAATCCTGATAGAAGTGAATGTTACAAAGCCTCTGCCAACTAGTATCCCAGTCATGAATGATGAAGGGGTGATGTTTGAACAAGCAGTTGAATATGATTGGAAACCTGAGTTTTGTGAAAAATGTTTAAAAGCAGGGCATAATTGCAGTAGAATCCCAAAGGAAAGTGATAAACAAATTCCTCAGTCCAGGAATAGGAAGCCACCACCAGTAAAACAAATATGGAGAACAAAGGAGCCAGCTAAAGTTACAACAGATGAAGTGAATCAGAAACAAGGTGAAGAAGCCACCAAGGAAGTTGTGAATGTTCCTAAGCTAACCGAAAGTAAGGAAGATCATCAAAAAGAAGAGGAAGCAATGGAAACAAGCAGACAAGTGGATTAAGGGAAAATGAAGGCAGATGACACTCAAATGACCTATGCCAAAGCAATCATGTCCCCAGTGAAACAAAGGCCCCAAACAAGACAGAGTACAGCTGTGATAGCAATCTTAAAACCACCTAATATAGGTGGGCAGTCTCAGCATTGACATGTCTTGGATGGTATGGAATATAAGAGGTACCAACAAGAGATACAAACAAAAGGAGTTAGGTACCTATATAAAGGAGAATAATATAAAGCTAGTGGGGTTAGTGGAAACTAGAGTAAAGAAGGAAAAAGCAGTTCAGATTTCACAGTTAGTGACACCTGGATGGCAAGCTCAATACAACTATGAATATGCAATAAATGGGAGAATTTGGATACTTTGGGATCCTCAGAGTTATGACATTACAGTGTTAGGGAAATCTGCCCAAACAATTCACTGCAGAGTTGTAAGCAGGCACAATAATATAAACTGTCTCATGACAGTAGTATATGGTTTTAATACTACAGAAGAAGAAACCTTTATGGCAGCAATTGAAGACTGATGCACCTCAGAACACAGAATCTTGGATTATTTGGGGAGATTTTAACTCTGTCTTAACAATTCAAGACAGAATCTGTGGGAAAATAGTTACAAGGAATGAAATACAAGACTTCAATGAGTGTATGCAGACTCTGAATTTACATGAACTGGCTTGGAGGGGAGACTACTATACATGATCAAATAAACAGCAAGGAACAGATAGAGTATATAGCAGGATTGATAGAGCTTTAGGGAATGATGAATGGATGCAAGAGTATGGGCATATGGAAGCAGAATATAGGCTCCCATTTATTTCAGACCATGCTCCAATGGTTATCTCTATCAAAAGGCAAGTACCAAATGGCAAGATCCCTTTCAGATTCTTTAATGTCTGGGCAGAACATCCAAGATTTATGCCACTGGTAGAAGAAGTATGGAAAGAACAGCAAGATCAGGACTCTATGAAGAATATATGGCAAAAGCTGAAGATTCTAAAACCTTTGCTGAAGCAGCTCAACAATAGTGAATTCAAGGGCATCACAGATAAGCTGGAATCAACTAGGAGTTTGCTACAGGATATTCAAGCTCAAATATGAAAAGGTTATTCAGATAAACTAGCTAATGAGGAAAAATAAGCTCTAGAGCATTTGGAGAAATGGTCCTTAATAGAAGAAAACATACTGCAACAGAAGGTTAGAGCTACATGGCTAAGACTTGGAGATGCTAATTCTAAATACTTTTCAGCAGTAATGAAGGAAAAAAGGCAAAGGAAAGTGATCACAGACCTACAAGATTGATTTGGAAACAAATTAACTGGCCAACAGCAGATACAAGAAGAGATTATCAGCTTCTACAAGGCATTGATGGGATCAACAATAGGGAATTTACCAGCAGTCAATAGAGAAATAATGAAGAATGGGCCAGTTCTTAATCATGAACAGCAGATAAACTTGGTAGCAGAAGTTACTGAGCATGAAATATATGAAGGGCTAAGTGCAATTGGAAATGATAAAGCTCCAGGGGTAGATGGTTACAATGTAGTATTTTTTAAGAAAGGATGGCCAATAATAGCAGATGGAGTTTATCAAGCAGTCAAAAACTTCTTTGTCACAAGGAAGTTGTATAGGGCAGTGAACTGTACAGCCATCACTATCCTGCCTAAAGTCCCAAATCCCACTAACATCAGAGAATATAGACCTATAGCTTGTTGCACTGTGCTGTATAAACTGATAGCTAAGGTTCTTGCTAATTGAATACAGAAAGTCATTGCATCCATTATTTCAGAGACTCAGGCTAGATTCATCCCAGGAAGAAAGGTTGCAGATAATGTGATTCTTGCTCATG